GGGGGGGGGGGTGGGGAAGGTGCGTGAAGTCCCTCCCTACGCACCTGCAGCGAGTTGGCGTCAGGGAGCTTTGTTCTGCATATGGTGAGGGCCTCCCACAGCTTGTCGTACGTAGTCTGAAGCCTCTTCGGCAGTTTCTCTGCATTCATTGCATCCACACGACAGACACAGACAGACAACACACAACCACCAGCTACCTAGCCATTCGGCACCACCCGGCCACTTGGTGTGCCCTCGCTTCTTGTCTCTTCCCTCCCTGAAGACCTTGGAGCTCTCCCGTCGTCTCGTCGATAGCACAGGCGCGCTCGATCTTGTAGCCGTCATTCATGACGAGCAGCAGCAAACCCACCCCCAGGGCAAGCACCGCCACCCACACAAACAGAGTCACGAAGGCAAAGATGGCCAACAGCATCCTGCACACAACCGACAACAGCCGACAGGTGAGGTGTGCAGGGCTGGCCATCTGTCCTGTCTGTCTGTCTGTCTGTCTGTCAGTGTGTCCGATCTCTCGCACTCACGCACTTTGAGTCGCAGACCGCTCCGATGAAGCCGAGAAAGCCCGACACCGCCATGATGGCTCCCATGACAAAGAGCCTACCACACGCAGCCCAGACAACGCGCATGCACATGCACATGCATCAATCACATCGGTTCAGTTGGATGTACGCCTCCCTCCCTCCCCATGTGCGCGTGTGTCTGCCTGTCTGTCTGGCTGTCTGCCCGCGGTTGGTTCGGCTCACTCACTCACCCGACGGGTATGCGCTCGTCAATGTCGCTGATGAGCTCGTCCCGCTGGGCGTAGTGACCAAAGTAGATGACAGATCCACCGAGCACCACCATCAGGATGCCGCCAAAAGAGACGAAGAACCCCTGACGCTTCATATCGGCTAAAGTCAATGGCAAGAGGCTCCTCGTCTATGTCCTGACGGTTGAGGCTCAGGGTTTCCCTGAACCCTAAAACCCAAACCCTACTAATCTCTGGATCTGCCGCGGAGAGATGAGGATCCTGCAGCTTTTGAAACCTCCCGCTTCGCTGCCCCTCCTCTTTGAAGCGTCGATGCGCCTGTCAAGCCCTGCACTCATGCCGAAGTCTACGCCATCAATGCAGCTGCCAGCACCTACAAGCTGCCCAGCGGCCATCAGAAGGCCGCCATCTGGCGGACACACAAGCGCCCCTGCAACTGCTACAACCGACGAGAGCGTCCGAGGCGAATCAGGCGAGTCGTCTGTAGTGCCGCTGGATGTGCGTCGCAACCGGGGCGGCAAGATGAAGAACAAACTGCGCAGGATGGAGAGGCGGAGAAGGAAGCAGCAGATGGAGCAGCTGAGGAAGGACAAGAAGGAGGACTTCGTGCCGGAGATCTACCTCGTGGACAAGGGCAAGAAGCCAGAGAAGATCCCGCCAACGGGCTACGTGCTGCCAAGGGGGCTGCGCTTCAGCTGATAATAGTAGTAGCTATGGTGGTGATGATGACAGGGGCACGGCGGTGATTCTCTGCTTTGAGATGAGATGATGAGTGTTTCCACTGTTTTTCCGTCTGCGTCGCGAATGGCGTGGCAGATTGCTTCAATCGGAGAAAGGCCGACTGTGTGTCTGTATTAGCTATCGTGTTGCGAGTGTCGCTGTGACCGACTGATATGCTTCCGTGCGTCTGTACCGGCCTCTCTACACACCCATTAATCGTTCACAACACACTGTGATGAATGCCAGAATCGCCCTGCCTGTCTTGCTGCAGCTAAAGATGCAGTGTCATTATCAAAGAGCACAAGTGACACGGCGAAATAGTCACTTGGATGTGCCTGCTGCTCATTCAGACCCGCCAAAGAGCACCGCACCATCCATTCCTACATCTGCCGCACACGTCCATTCATTCCACCCACTGCATCCACCTTCTTTGCAGACACTTGCAAAAGGCGCAGTGAGGTCGACTCTGTAAGCAAAACTGACTGAGCGCCACGAGGTTGAGGCAAAGGTAAAGGCATGCACATTCTTGAGAAGCGCACACGCATGCATCAAGGCGACACCGGCAACCAATTGGATGCTCACATGTCCGCTGCTCTCTCTTCCCTCCCTCCCTCCTTCCCTCCCGCCCGTTATAGCAGAGAAAATTGAACTCAAAGCTGGATGGCCGAAGAACAGCCCGACACAATAAATCCACACATAACCGTTGCAAATTATGAAAAGGTACACGCATACAGGCACACACGTACAGAGAGAAGCGTACGCGTGCAAATACATGGATAGGTCAGTTCTCCCTCCCTCCCTCCCTCCTCGTTGTCCGCTTCTTGACCATCATCAGTGCCGCTCGCTTCTTGGTCGCCGATATGCCGTGTGTGGAGAGAGCCACAGGTATGTATCTTCAGCAGCAGCTGATGGATAAATGGATGGATGGATGTGCTACGTACGCTGGCGTCTTGGTGTGTGCAGACAGACACCCTGGAAGACCTCCACACACAAACATCATGAGGGCGGGCAGTGGATGCATTGCTCTGTCTTGTCCCAATCCATCCACATGCAGAGCACGGTGGTCGACGCGCTCTATTTATGTATTTTTTCAGTCATTCCCCTCATTTGTTCCCTGCACGTACGCACGTGTCTCCAGCTTAGGACCCCATCTGCGTGTCTGCCTGTCTATCTGTCTGCCTGTCTCTGTTTGCATTCAAATCCTCTCTCTCTCTGCTGGGGTTGATCGGTCAGCCAAGGGCCATAGGTGGGAACTCCTCCACCAGAGTGTATGGACGCTGCAACATAGACATGTATGCCCATCGGGAGATACGGATGCCCATCCGTGCTCAACACACTCCCTCACCGTATCTCCCAGCCGCCGCACACCATTGGGCGCCAGAAGGCAGTCAGAGGGATTCTCAGGCAGGCTGAGCTTCAGCAGACTGAGCGATGGATGAGTGCCCGCCCGCCCTAGGAAGGTCTGAAACCGTTTCTTGTTTGCACTCGTCATGAGCACAATTCCTGCTGACTAAGTTTGTACACTCATTCACAGATAGAATGTCAGATGAATAAGTCTCGGGCTGCAGCCCCATCGCTCACCTGTATGAGACACATGACTTGGTGGGCTCCGCTGCCTGGCGGGAAGCTGGAGTGCAGGGTCGCGGTTGTGGAGAGGTGAGGGAGCAAACGGGCCTGGGCGTTGATCGGGCCGCCTGAAATTCTTTCCCTTTTCGCCATGCAATCCCGAGTCATCTGTTGCAGCTGGGGCCAGGCCTGGAGCAGCTCGAAATAGAGGAGTCATTCGACCTCTCGCATTTCTTCTCCTGCGCTCTTCCATTGCTGCGTCGTGCGATAAAGCATCTCGTCAATGCGCAAAGGCTCAAACTCGGCGGCAATCATGTCTCGGAAAGCGTTGTAGTCATCGAGACTTAGCATGTCTGCCTCTTCCTCGAGGAGCGCTTCGTGGAACCGCAGAAGGAGCCCTTTTTCGGCGAACAGAGAGAGATCCGCCTGGCCAAAAAGGAAGCTTGTCATTTGTGTGCACTCGTCCACGTAGATGTCAGCGGGGTCGTATCGGAAGCCCCACGATTGGTAGTAGAAACCTAACATTGAACACACATCGAAGACACATCACACAAACAAGACCATGCCATTGACCACACACACATATGTCCTCTGGGTCTAGAAGCGTACTTGCTCGTGTGAGAATATAGACCTCTTTGATGCTGCTCGTGTCGACCACGGAGACTTGTGTGCAACCCCAGTGGCTGCCGTATGTGTCCAACCATGACAGCATAGAGACTGCACCATTGGCAATCAACACCTTCTGACTTGTGAGGGTTTTCATGCAATGTAAAAGTATCGGGGCCGTGTGTGACTGACCGACGAGTGTGTTGCCGCTGACACCATCGGCCTTTTCCACTCTGCGACAGACAGACAGACAGACAGACCCGTGTGGCCAAGTGCGCAAACGCGTAGTCCCATTCTCTGCGCACACGCGCAGTACCCTTCCAGGTAGCAGGAGTCCTTGGCGACCACACTGTACTCCAACAGGCAGTACCCCGGCGGCCTCACGTCGATTCCGTCAACCTTTTGCAGTGAGACCTGCGCGCTTCCAGTCGACCTTTTGCCCACCCGAAGCACCAGATCTAGTTTGTTCCTCCCCTTGAGGCCTGTCTGCAGCCGTTGGCGGAACCTCTTGTCAACATCCACAGAGCAACTGCTTGTGGAGTGCACCCAATCAGATCTCTATGGTTTGATGAGACGCTTCACTGCATCGTGTGTGTCTCCCACCTGATATCGATTGGTTCCGCAGGAACACTGAGGGGCGGCTGGGTGCAGCTGACTTCCTTTTTGACACGGGATGACAAGACGCCCCCGTGTTGAACTTGAAGTACCTGGCAGAAAAGGATCAAGGCTGCCCACGAGAACCAGTGGGCACGAGAACGAATCGTCAGATCCATGGATCGAAACGGGGCAATCAAATCTTCTGGAGCTCGAGCGGGGGAGAGAAAACTGAAGGAACCGATTGAGGATGGGGGCGCAAGCTGTGGCCCCCATTGCACGCTGCATGCATTGGATCGATGCGCAGAATGGTGAGCTGAAAACGCTCCCGTCACGCATGAGGTCATGGATGCTTCTTGTTACTTGTGCTTCACACCTGATGCTTGCAGCCCTAAGGAGCAGCCGGTCATTAACCGTCGATGCAGCCGGCCTCCCTGCCCTACCAGCACATCACGTTCGAAGTGTTTGGAAGAGTTCAGGGTGTAGGACACCTCGAGAGCATCCCATCCCTGCCTGCAGGGATGCGGAAATGTCATATATTTGTGTTCATCTGTCGCGTGTTTTGTTGTCAATATCTATCAGGTTTTCTTCAGGTCAGTCAACCTGATGCTACACGGAAGGTAGGTCTAGAGTATGCCGAGTGGATGTACGTATCTCTTCAGGAAGCACACACAGCGGCGAGCCGCGGAGTTGGGATTGGTGGGGTGGGTGCGGAACGCCGAGCACGGCTCCGTCCAGGGAGAGGCACAGGGCGCCAGGGATGCCATTGAGGCCATGAAGATCTGGCTGCGAACCAGTAAGTCCGTATGCCCCATTCACTCATTTTTGCACGCTTCCTGGAACCAGACCCCGGCTTCATTCACTCGGTCTTCCTCTCCGTGTGTGGCGTGTGCTGGCTGCAGAGGGCAGCCCGAAGAGCAGGATCGACCGATGTGACATCATCGACATGCCACCCACACAGCAACTCTCATTCGACGCGTTCGAGGTAATTAAGAGCGCACGGGGCAGGCAGGTGAGTGAGGGGATGCATACTGCGTATGTGGGTGTGTATGTGTGTGTGTGTGTGTGTGCCTCTCTCGTGACGCTGCAGGTGGTCAAGTGAGGACTACCGAATTCATGCTGGCTGGTGCGAGCATGCCATGGCTTTGGTGCCGCTCGCACCGCACACATCTGTGTGTGTGAGTGTGTGTGTTGAGGCGTTCGTTGTGTACATACAATACATTAAGTACTGCGTTCATTCTTGGACACAGTGAGTGCAGTGAGCGACTCACTCGATCGGTCGATGTGATGTGCGGCTATGACTGACTGAATGAATCACTCACCGCCAGGCCAGTGGGTATTATGGTATTTATTTCCATCTGTCCGTCTGTCCGTCTGTCCGTCTGTCTGCCTATCGCGCTCAGACAGGCCACATCAGAACCAAACACACACACACACACCCTCACGCACACACACATATAGATAGCAGTCTCTCTCTTTCGCCCGCTGACCACTTAGTTGACAAGGGAAATCCCACACACACATCCAACCCAAATCCACTCCAGTTCACGCCACGGACACGCGCCACAATGAATGCAACAAGATGAAGTCAGTTTATCTGTGAAGGACGACGACACAAAGCTGAAAGTAATAAAGAGGTGAGGTGTCGGTCAGCTGATCAGTCAACATCCATCACTGTGTGGCGGTGGCTGCTGTGTCTGTAGGCGGCGGCCCGGTGAGGCCCAGGGCCTGCCGCTGCATCTCCTCCTCCGTTTCCCTGAGTGATTGCACAGACAGACACATGTGTGTGAGGTAACGAGAGAGGGAGGAGAAGGGATATACAAGGCGCACATCCAATCAAACACACACGAGGAAGGGAGGCAGTGAGCTTGGCACATGCCATGCATGTGTCATCCATCTCTTGCTTGGCGTGTGTGTACGCATCCAGCCCTCCATCCATACATCCGCCCATGCACCGCACCCACTTGCATTGGTTGAGTCTGATTCTGTATGTCTCAATGATGTCGCGGTACTGCTCCAACGCCTCCAGGAAGTCGTCCATCGTGAAACCCTGCAAAGCAAAGCGGGCATGGCATCCACAACAGAACAGAACGAGACTTGTGTTGGATGCCCGCCGAAAACAGACAATATGCATGCAGAGTGGGTGCGCAACTGCCTGCCTGTCTGTCTGTCTGTCTGTCTGTGGAGATGTCTCCCTCTCTCCTCCACACTTGATCTATTCGTCGCTTACCTGGGCGATATACTGGTGCACGAACGCCTTGTGGTAGAAGAGCTTCAGGAACTTGCGGTACTGACGGATGAACAGATTCCGCACCGCCGTCGAGTTGCTCAACAAAGCCGCCTGATGCACACCACAACAACAAGAAAACCAACAACAACAACAACGACAACAAACACGACACACCATGTCTACTGCTCTGCCGTAGCTGGGCTCACTGCGCCCACTGACGGACCTGCCTCTTGGTCTTGACAAAAGGCGAGTTGGGCGTGGTCACTGGCGGCACCCCCACAATGCCGACCTTGAAGCCGAGATTCTTGATCCACGGACAGAACCTGACACACACACACGTATGCATACATACAGAGAGGAGGAGTGGAAGGATGATGATGTTGTACTTGGGAATATGTGCCCTCGAGGTCGGGTTCTTCAGACGGCGAATGGCGTCGTAGACCTCACATGCCTGCAGGCGACCACCCACTCGTCCAGCTGACCTCTCCTCGCTCCAGCCTCACCAACGCTGACTAACCCGCACCCACACCACACCCACAAGTACCTGGACGGGCACGGCGCCGTACCCCGTGTCTCCTTCTCCCCTGAAGACCACACATGCGGCCTCAAAGCGGTTCTGCAAAAAGTGGGGACCGGCGTCGCAGAGGAGGTTCTTGGACTCGAACAGCTCCTTGGTGATCTCGTAAGGCGAGAAATTCTACGACACACCATACATGAGACACACAAGCGAGAGACACACAAGGCACGAGGGAAGCTTGGATGTCTCCTTTCTGTATTCAACCCACCCACCCGTCCACCCACCTCGTGTCCAGCAGATTTTTTGGAGCGCACTGGGGCGAGCGAGACAATCGGATACCTGGTGAATCGGATGCGATCTCGATTGAATCCACGGCCGCCCCCTCACTGCACTTCTGCCTGGACTGACCTGAATTGGGGCTCTGGAATGATATTGGTGCATATTTCGTCGAGTGTGGAGTTGAGCTCGACGTCATACCTAAGTCGACAGAGCATTTATATGGTTGGTTCGCCTTGGTGGAGGGAGGGAGGGAAGGAGGGAGGGAGGGAGGGACCTACCCACCTTAGCGACAGTGTGGATGCCGAGACCACCTGCGCCAGCACCGCGTTGAGATCCTCAAACGTCGGATTCGAGACCTTCATCTTGTGCCTGACGTGGCACACAGAGACACGCATTACAGAGACTCATACAGGAGCCGACACGTTGTCTGACTGTCATTGTTGCTGCTTTGGCTGGCTGACCTGCACATGTTGTATGCGGCCTGGTTGTCGAGCATATAGGAGAGGTCAGCGAGGTGGCGGGACAGCGCTCCGGAGAAGACGCAGTTGTAGGGCTCGACCGTGGTGGTGCCGTGCTCTGCCGATGGGTAGATGACGACCTCGAATATCTTCTTGTAAGACTCCACGCAGAAGGCGTCACCCAGTTCCTCGAGCGCGTCGACACCCACCCCGCCGCCGGTCCCCCCGCCCCAGGAACGAAACACGAAGAACCCCTGGAAGTTGTCGCACAGGTCGACCGCCAACCGGACTCTGTCCATCAGCAGCGGCACCTGCTTGCACTGCCGACCCATCTGCTGCCCTGCACACACACACCACGCAGACATGCGCCATTGATTGATTGACAAGCGTCTCCTGCGACTCGCTGCGGCTGTTGCGTTGTGTCGTTATCGTTATCGTGTGATGTGTCTTGTGTCTCACGTACCCTGCACGAAGGTGCCTCCGCTGTCCTGCTTGAAGTTGACGAGTGACTCTGGGTGGAAGAGGTGCTTGAGCCGCGAGTTGCGCACCTCGTCTACTGCACTGGGGTCCAGGTCAAACATGACCGAGCGGGGGACGTACTGACCGCTGCCTGCAGTGTCACAGTGCAGCGCAGTGAGTGCAATCAACCGGTGTCCATCGAGACAGAAATCCCACATAGGTATCAGAAAAGCGTCTGGCTCCCTGTCTGTCTGCCTGTCTGTGTGCATGTCTGTCTGTCTGTCTGTCTGCGTGTCGTGCCTGTGTCGACCGGTTTCGTAGAAGAACGACTCGTGTGGCGCGTCAACGCCGGGCGGGAGGACAGACGACTGGAGCGCATGCCCGTCGCAACCTATCTGCGTTGCAAACGCGCGCACACCCATACATGCATGGAGGAAGTGTCAGGGATCTGCATATTCCGCACCTGGTGCTCAGCGCAGAAGAGTTCCCATACGTCATAGCCCACCTGCACGCCAGCCTGGCCCAGGTGCACACAGATCACCTCCTTCACCATAATGGGAATTCTCGCGCGAGACTGGGGGCGTGGGGGCTTTGATTTGATCATCCCCTCGGCTCTCTCCGAGTCGACTCTCGGAGTCATTCTTTCTGCAATAGGCGCGACTTGTGCGCTAAAGCTGCCCCTGTGGCCGGAAGGCTGGCATGTCCGCCTGTAGGGCCAGCCCTGCAGGTGGATGTCCAGCCCTCCAGTCAGAAGACCAGCCCTGCAGTCAGAAGGCCAGCCTTGCACTCACAGGGCCAGCCGTGCAGACACACGGCTGGCCTCTGCGGGACATGTTAAGTGCATCTGGAGGGTGTTGACTCACTGCAAGGCTGGCCTTCTGACTGCAGGGCTGGCCTTCTGACTGGAGGGCTGGCCCCACGGGCAGATATGTCTGCCAGCCTTCCGGCCACAGGGGCAGCTTTGGTGCACAAGTCCTTTGTATTGTGCATGCTGGATGATTTGTGCAGCCGATAGGAACGAGGTGCAGACTTCTTTTTTGCTTGCACAACGATACAAGGTACATACAACACAACATACGTACAACAATAAATCGTATCCTACACATACCCGACCCTCATGATTGATTGAGTGACTGATCCGTTAATTCTGCAGGACACTCTCATTGATGCGCTATGCTGTCACTCCCTTCCCTCAGTTTCGGTGGGCACATGGCCATGGACGAGAAGAGTGTCGTCGGAGGCGACAGCCAGGGTGAACATATCATGTCCAAGGAGGACCTCGCAGACACTCACATCATCGGACAAGTACATACGCAGACAGACATTGTCAAGCAGACAGGCAGACAGCAAAGAAACAGACAGACAGACAGACAGACAATCGAAGAAACAGACAGTCACTTGGTCACGTACGCTTGGTGTCTCTGGCCACGTGTGCAGGTTGACCACAAGTTTGTATGCTGCTTCGCTGCCTCGATGCAGTCCATCGCCCTGGTGGACCAACACGCATGCGGTAAGGACAAAAGTCGCTCGGTCAATCATTCTGTCTCTTGCCTCATCCGTGGCCGTTTCGTTGTTTGGCGAATGTGGAGGTGAGCGAATTGAGTTGGAGAAGATCTTCGAGGCCCTTGCAGCGGGCTGCCACGACGACAAGCTGCTGTCGACGGCTGTTCTCTCGCCCGCAGCCCGTGTGCTACTCACGCCAGGACAGCACGCCGCACTCGTCAAATATCAAACACTCGTACGTCTATCGCTCCACACCACATTCTGTCGTGTGTGGCTGGATGGATGGATGGATGCAGGTGAGCAAGTGGCGTTTCCATGTCGATGTCTCGTCAGCTGCCATGGCTCCCGACGGATCCATCCGCGTCAAAGGTCAGTCAGTCCAGGCATGAGTTCATGACATGAATGAAGGCGTTGCATTGCGCTGCATCAGTCCACTCTGTTCCAAAAGTGGCATCGTATCAAGCAGCGCCCGAGGAACTTCCCTTCTTCCTACAGTATCGCACACACCCACATCACACAGACAGAGAGAGACAAGTGGACAGACAGACAGACGCACAACAAACGCATCTCTGTTTCTCCTCATGTGTTTGTCCATGTGATCAGGTACTTGGAGACACAAAAGGAGGTGCATTTCCCCTTCCCCGTCCCACACAACTGTCGCAAGCAGCTCGTGTACCAAGCGTGTCGTCGAGCCATCAAGTTCGGCGACCCCCTCACCGACCTGCAACAGGCCGACCTCCTCACACGCATCAAGCAATGCAAATATCCATTCCAGGTCGCACCCATTGCACAGAGACGCCAGCCCTCACATGCATGTGTGTCTTGTGGTGTAGTGTGCGCATGGGCGGCCGACTGTGTATCCATTGTTCACGCTGGATGGCCCTGATGCCTGTGCTGGCGACAGCAGACACGAAGACAGTGAGGGCAAGTCGGCCGGATGGGAGAGAGAGCTGGGGCCCATCGACTGAAAATATGTCAGCGCGCACAAATCGTCCGTTATGCATGTGAATGATGTGTTGAGGCAAAGACGGCTTGGTGTGCGCGCACGTGACTTTCTGCACATTAGCGAAACGGTTGTGCTGCATCGTGTACAAGAGCTGGCATTGCCGACTGTGGACACCGTCAATTGTACGAAGCACTTGGACATCGTTTTCATCCACTGACCGCCGCGCCACCACAGCGAAAGTGCGACACACGAGTGGTCAGGAGACATGAGGAAAACGTTCAAGAACTCCGACGAAGCCAATGCCAAGTCTGTCGACATAAGTCACACGTCAAAAGACGGATAAAGGTAAAAGAACCAATGGCCGTGCGCGCGCGATGCCCGTGGCGAGTGATTGTTTGTCGAGTTTGAACACCGGTATATGTGGATGTCGAGCGCCTGTCTGTCTGCTTGTGGTGTGCGGGCGGTGGCGTGCATGATCTGCTGCTGTGAATGTAATCTCGCAGAGGGTACATGACGAGGACAAGAGCATGACCCTACGCGCTGCAGCCAACAAAAAACCTCCCGGAACAGAGACAATGAGACAATGAGCAGTCCTTCAACAAAACTCAGCATGTCTCACTTTAGTGAAGCCCCATAGGTGTCCCACATCCCCAGGTTCTTCTCTCCTATGTGCCCGTCTCTTGATCCCTACACATGGCCATGGCCTACGCTGCTGGAGCCGTTCGAGCCCTATGTTCATTCCAATCCAACAATTGCGCCGGCTCGCCTTGCATGTCACACTTCACTCTGCTCGGCTCTGCGTGTCTGAGTTCCCCGAGACAACTCTTCACTCGTGATCAGCACAATACTGGCAGCCCGGCTCCTTTTTAGGTGACAGGAACAACATAATAATATGGGCAGGTACGACGCTCTGGCTCAGGTAGGATCAAGGGCTGTGCGACGGTGCCGCTGACGGCACGCCGCAGAGACATCATGAAGAACGGCAGCCACGTGGAAATGCTGCATAGACAGACACACAGGGAGAATAACAAATGCAGTGAGCAAACCGATCGATAAATGCGCCTTACCAGCAGCCGGCGACCAGGAACAAGGTCAGTACTACACGGCGAAGAACGCCTTTCTCAGACCTGGACGAAAGCATGGGAAGGTTGTTCCACCTCATCAAAACACACAGCACGCACAGCTGGAATAGCTGCTCGATAGCCACCGGTAACACCAAACCCATGCCTTCCTCCACAAGCTGCTCCCATGACGCGCCTGCGTAAGCTTGGGCCGTGAGTACAGTCAGGTTGGTAAACAAAAGGGCCACCAGCTCACAGCTGGACCAGATGTTCACCTGGTCGGATAGTGCACGTAGATACCTGCAATGCAAGTACACGTAAGTGCACACTGTGTGGATCGTGTCTCAGTTTATTGTGGCGGCGGGTACCTTGGAGACACTTCGAGTGAGGCCAAGGCCGACTGCAGCCCTCCGACTGGAGCAGCGAGAGACAGCGCTGTGGTCATAATTGAGCTTTGACGTCTTAGCAGATGACCGTTCTTTCTCTTGCTGTGCTGGCTCTCCGTAGCGTCGTTGTCCTTGCCCATGGCTGATCCACTGACCGCCTCCGCTTTAGTCGCCGTCACCGCAATGTCGGTCAAGCTATAAGCTGTGGGTGCCTGTCTCTTGCACCGGGCCTTGACAAACTTCTTGGCCGACAGGTAAAGTAGAATTGCTGATGCATACAAAGAGACAAGCATAATTGACCAAGAATTCACTGATGTGTCCATGGCTGACGCGCGTACAATAGGGGTGTGAAATGTCCATGATCAGGTCAACGATTGAGATGAGGACAGAATAGAAGAGTTTGCTCCTCAGGTTCACGGCCTCGGCTTGAAGCATGCCTGATCAGGAACATCACACCCCCTATTGTACGTGTGTCAGCCATGAAGAGGTGACTGACGTGGGAAGATCACGTAGACCACCGCAGGTAGTGCTATAAGCAGCGAATTGCATGTGGGAACTCCCTCCTGGATAACATCATGAGAAACAAAGTTCGCTGTCTCTTAATTGGCTCTGTTAGTCAGTTCGTACTTTGAGCGACCGCACGAGTTTATTGACAAGTCCGATAGCGGGCATGAAGACTGCGAGATATATGACAGCCATCCGGAGTCGGTCAATATCAGTGGATGATGCAGCAGCAAATCGTGGCGAGAGGGCAGCGATCCAAATTATTGACATAGTGAATGCCATCGTGACAGCTGCCGTGACCTTCATAACATACTCTCGTCTGGCCCTAATACTCAACGATCCCGCAACGCGCCAGAAGTACACAAAGAAAGCCGCATAATATGAGCTCCAGTAAATCGGAATGATGATGTTTCTTCGTTCTTGGGTGTCGAAATGGAGCCCATGACCAATAGAGATCAGCAGACCGAGCGCCAATGCCGGAAAAAAGACGAGCCACTCCTTCTTCAGCCGCACTATCATTCTTCGCCGGCCGGTCCCATCTGTGACGAGCACGAGCAGGAGCAGCAGCATGAGACATTCTATAATGCGGCATAGGATGCCAAAAACCGGCCCAAACGTACTTGACAGACACCAATAGATGAACATTAGAGTGCAACCGACGAGGACGATCGCAATGGCGAGAGCAATTGCTGACTGCTGAAGTAGAGCCACAGAAATTCGTCTCAAGGTCGTCACGAACGGCTCGGGTTCAAAAGTTGCACCAACAAGCACCTCTGTTGTGCTGCCGTCGTGATGCATCGTTCTATACTCGAGGGTCGTCGGCCATTCTTCAAAACTAGCCTCGTAGCTTGCCGCCTCCCTGAACTCATGGACCAAATCCGCTATAATACGCTCCTCACGACGCAGTTCATGGCCAGAAACGGAATCTCTCGTGTCGATGGTTGATGTTATCGGGGCCCGTCTTTCGTGACGTGTTTCGTCGCCATGCGCTACGGTTGTGATGTGGTCGCTTGGTCCAGGTGCTGTGTTGTTTGTCTCTTCAGCGTCGTGCTGTTGTGGGCACGGCAGGCTGACTGAGGACGAGAGATTGGACGAGAAGGTTGAGAGAGCGGCTGGTTGATGTGCACATTCATCCCCAGGTGATTGAGGCGGTCTCACAGCCTCGCCTTTCACCGTCACCACTGACATTGGGCCGTTTTCCGTTTTCCATCGCAGCGGTTTCAGGGAGCACCCTAGGTGGCCTGACGGCCAAGTCCCCTGTCGGTCTGTCCAACATGAAACAGGCACCCTAACATGCAACCCGGACACGCAACACGCAGCACGCAGAGGGCAGATGCAGCAGAGAGGAGGATATGCAATGCGCTGCGAACGACGGCCACATACAAGCAGGCACACAGCGTCGCACACACGCCACCCCAGCAGCAGCTTGAAGGCGGCGTGCGTGCGTGCGTCAGGCACCATGACTCCATACGTAGATACCGCCCATCCCCAGGTGGCCAGCCAGTGCAGATCGCCCAGTCACACACAAACACGCCCTTATAACAACCACGCACGGAGTGCTGGGGGTGCATGAAAGCGCACCGCCGCCCTCTCCAGGGCGGCCCTCTCCAGGCAGGTGGCCGACCCACAGACACCCCCAGTGCACGCCCATACACATATCACCGCCGGGATAAGTAGGGGCGCGGCAAGACACACACAGACCACGCCCACATCCACACGCACACCCCTACACACGCGCACACCACCCAGACACACACACACACACTTCCGTTTTCCAGAGATGCGAGCTTTTTTTCCAAATTGCAGATCTCCGAAAAAGGGCATCTACGTGAAAGGATGCATGGCATCTCGGTGCAGAGGCTGCTATTCTTTCTGTCCATCTACTTGTTCGCCTTCCTCCGCTCTGGCACGGCATTCAGATCATCACCATCTGTGTACCAGATCATACGGCCCTGCACATCGCCAGCAGGCTGTCGCCCCAGCAGATCACATGCTCTCAAGTTCGACAAAAGTAGTAGTAGTAGCAGCAGCAGCAGCGACAGGAAGGAGCCAACGCCGGAGGAGGATAATGAAGAAGAAACAGAAGAGGTGCGTGATAGGCACATGCATGCTGATAGACGGATGCTACACATCGTCACTGGAGGTGCTGTTTGTGGTAACGTGTCTGCAGGAGAAGCAGGCGGCCATGATGGAGATGATGGACCAGTCAGTCCAGAAGGCCATCATAGAGGCGCGCACAAGGCGCATTGCCGGCGGTGTGGAGGACCGCGCCACACAGGTTCGTCGGGGCAGAAAGAGGCGCAAGGGCGAGGAGATGCGTGTGGCACTCACACTCGACCGCATTAGACGGCAGCAGGAGTACAGCATGAGGGCAATGGGGGTTGACACCGACACCGACAAACAGGGCTCGGAGAAACAGGCTGCCGAGACCATTGCCGCGGCGATGGAGGCAGCGCAGGAGGCCATCTCGTTCGGCCAGTATGCAACGGCCGTACGGCTGCTCAGGTAATGGGGCAAGATGCGTCGTGCCATCCATTTCTCTGCGGCCAATACAATCTGTCTGTCTGTGTGCTTGTGCTTGTGCAACAGGGAGATCGAGCCCTTGATATCCTACGGCACGCAGGTAAAGGCAGCGACACAAACAGCAGAACGACAGACAGGACATCGTTGTGTGGTGTGTTCATCAGCTGGGAGGTGAGGCGTATCTGGAGCTGGCGATGGCGTACGAGATGGACGGTCAGCGGGAGAGCGCCAAGAAGACCTACCGCACCCTCATAAAGCTCAACGGCAGCAGGAACATCAGGGGCGACGCCAAAACACTCCTCTTCCGGCTCGAGAGCGACGAGCGGCTGCGCAACGTGCAGCTGGACTGGGAGGACGTCGACCCTGAGGTGGCCAAAGCGCTGCGGCAGAAGTACGCCCTCAACAGAGACGACTTCGCCACTGGCCAGTCCATCGCTGACCTGATCGTGCCGCGCCGCCGCAGAGAGGAATATTCTACTTACGCGTATCGAGAGGCTGATGGGTGGTCGTCGGAAACACTCCCTGTGGCGATTTGGGAACTGGAGATCGCCCGGGAGAACCTTTTGGCCGCAGCCAAGCAGTCCAATCCACTGGTGTTCGGGCCGCTGTTCGGCGCACAGCCCGTCTCGCCGACTGAGATTGTCGAGGTGCAAGAAAGCCAGCACCCACCCCCCATCGATATCTATTTGTCTGTCGTGTCTGCCTCTCTGCAGGCCCTGCGATGCGTCAAGCGTGTGTACAGGCGCGAACAGATGGGCCTGCAGCAGACGGACTATCTGCGAATGGGCAGATCACGCAGCGGACAGGCGGCGAAGGCGCCACCACCAGCAGTATCAGCGGCAGCGAAGTTGATTGAGTCGACGGACGATGAGGGTGATGGAAGTGATGGCGGTGAAGACATCATGCGGGGTGGGATGGGGCTGGGGCTGCCTGCGAGGGTGCTGAGCATCGACGAGGAGAACAAAATGATGCAGAGACCTGAGGTGAATGGACCCACCAGACAGACAGACAGACAGGAGCGGGTCGCACCCGTATCTCTGGTGACCTACCTATCTGTGTGTGCAGACGTTATCTGAGAAGCTGTGCGGCGAGTTTAGGCTGGCCTACACCGCTTCAGGCCCCTCCGGCATCCATTTCACCTACCAGAGCGACCAAGACCTGGGTGCGGCGGGGCTCCCGGTCCTCTCACCCGCAGACCCCTCACAGACGCAGCAGCTGCAAGACCAGGCCAACAGGGTGCCGTCGCTGACACTCAGCGACGCCAGAGTGACCACACGGGCCAGACAGGGCGGCAGGCGGACACGTGTGGAGGTGCGGGCGGACTACAAGCTTCCCTTGGGTGTGGTGGGGTGTGCGGGGTTGGCTGGGGAGGGCGTCTATGCCCCGTCGTCGGGACATCTGCGGCTGACGTATCGCAGGGCATGGGTGGGTGAATGAATGAGGGGGTGGGTGAATGAGTGGGGCGGTGAGGGAGCGGACAATACAATACGGTGTGCGTGTCTGTGCGGCTAACCGCACTCATTGCAATGCATTGCAGGTCGATTTCTTCAACACTGGCGCGAGGCTCTCTGTCCCAACAGCCGGCCTCGTCGGCAACACCAAGTAGGCGTGCATCCATCGCATCCACTCACATTCACCAGACAGACAGACGTGCAGTGCGTGTAACAAACATGCCCCTGTCTGTATCTGGGCGTGTGTGGCTGTGCCTGCCTGTCCGGTCCGTGTGCATTTATTTAAATCAATCAGGGGTCAGTTGCTGCTGCTCGATGACCGTCTAATGGTGACGTCGACAGCCGTGCCAACGAAGCGGTTCGCGCAGAGGTTCAAGGCGATGCAGGTGAAGGGCTGCAGTGTGTGGTGCCGCCCCGTGGACGCGCCGCTGCCCAGCCAGACGGCCATCCGCATCGTACACACACGCGACTGGCTGTTCAGCAAGTATGGGCAGGTGACTGAGGTGAGCAGTGGTGGTGGTAGTGGTGACAGTGGGGGCAGCCTACCGATGGCGGCCAGCAATACCCCTGACAGTGTGGCGGCCGTGGGCGCCTGATGGGTGAGTGAGGGCGTGTGTGTTGGTTCGTTGGTTGGTCGGCTGGTTTGTTCCGGGTGTACATATACACAGCTCTGCTGCCTGATGGCCGACGATGGGGGTGTCTGCCTGTCACAGTGCCTTCCTGTCCTTCTCCCTCCCTCCCTGTCTCCCTAACTGCGTGTCTGTCTGCGTGTACGATAGAGACATGCCTAAGTGCTCTGTGTGGGTCGTGCAGTTTTGATCGTTAGGCACTGTGAGTGAGTTGGATGGATGAGACCACTGACTCTTCGACTTGTATGTATGTCTACACGAACACTCCACCCATGCATGGCGAATCCATCAACGCGCACGCACACACGCACAGGCAGACAGACAGACAGACAGAGAGAGAGAGAGAGACGTCTCGACAGGGCAAAGCCACCTGCACGTGTCCGTATACAGACGACTTGCGCAGCCGAGCGCCACATGAAACACCCCTCTCTCTCTCTTTCTCTGGCCGTATGTGCCATCCATATCTCTAGCGTAAGTAAGTCGGCCATGCTACGAATGCATGGGCCCCCCACCCGCACCCCCAATGCGGCCCCTGTAGCTGGCCGACACGAATGGTGCGGCGACTGTGGACGAGTAGGGCGGACACTCGGCGTGGTGGGCGGCCTCGATTTCTGCTGCCAAGAGGAATGCGTCTTTGCGTTTGGCCCGCATGTAGCGGAGCGTCGAGCAGCCGACCAGGATGAAACCTTATGTCCGCACCATACACACCCAGGGGGAGAGTGGAGGGGGAGGGTGGAGGGCGGCGGCCTTACCGAGTATGAAGGTGGTGGAGACGCTTGACAGCACAAAGGCCCAGTGGGGCAGGTCAGCTGCAGTGCGGAAGCTGGAAGAAGGGAAACACGCAGCGAGAGAGAGAGAGAGGCGGTGCAGGGCCGGGCTCGGCCATGCAGGTCCATGTATGTATCTTTGTGCATGTTGGCATACATACTTGTTTGCGTACACTGGTGTCGACCCGACTCGGATGATGTCGATGATCCACCAGACCCCAAAACCACCCAAACTCACAGCCTTCATCGACCCTGACAGGTAGATAGACAGACAGACAGACGAGAGCCATGCATGACCTTGATGGATGCATCCATCAAAGAGACCAGCCAATGGGTTACGAACAAACATGAACAGTCGATTGTGATGTGATGATAGCGAGCAACAGACACTCAAATGGACAAACGATGCCTGCCTGCATGACACAGATGCCTGCATCACAAACAGACGGACCTATCAGTGGGTGTCCGAGGTAGAAGAGGTCTGCGCCGAGGAACCCGAAGAAGAGAGACAGGACGTACGCAAGGGCCTGTCTCCACAGATATGAGCATCACCGTTTAACCGTATGGAGACACACATACGCGCACACAAACAACAACTATCGTGCTGTGCTTACCTGTGATTTTCTCTTGGTGCGGCATTCTGGGTCAGCCCATTCTCTGTCGCACTGGCAGAACTGAAGAGTCCGGCCGCCCGCGATTGACGGCGCATCCTGCCTGAAAGAGGGTGTGGCATGTTTGTATATATACCAACTTGTGGATATGATGAGTTATCGATCAACATGTCTGACTGACCACTGCTTGCAGGTGCCTCTGCCGGAGCACTGCAGCGAGGGGGCAATGGAGGTCTGCAGGCTGCAGCTGTTCCTGCACGCAGGCAGACCACCACACGCCACCTATCACCCACAACCGTGTGTCCTCCATGAAAGGTACCTGACTCGTCTGCCGTCAGTGTCGACAAAGTCGTATTTGAGGAGGTAGTTGGGCTGCTGCCGCCACTTGCCCACCGTGTGCTGCCCAGCTGCACACACACAAACATGCAAACATCCACACATCACAAGGCTCGTGCGTGATTGTCCGGGCTGTGCGCTCACTGATGTCTGAGGTCATGCTCCGTCCCTCCAGAGACAGAACACACGTCAGTAGCGACGCTGGACAATCACGACAGCAACAACAGACAAACAGACAGACAGACAGACAGACGAACGGACGGACGCGCAGAATTCGAGACATATCAGAGCTGGATTGTGTGTTTATACCGGATATGATGAATCTAAGGATGAGGGCGGCTGATGAGCGCCTAGCACCGCCACCAGCAGCAGCAGCGGCAGGCCTCTTACCTTTCTCGTACACAATAGTCACACCACCACCATCGCCCGTCGGCTCCTCTGTCAGATTGTCTGGTGGCGGCTCCTCTCTCTCGCTGTGGTCTGCACGTGGATCGTTCTTCTCCGTCTCCTCGGGCGGCGCGCCAGGCGATCCCGATGACCTGTTGGGTGGTACGAACGGACAATGTGACAGACTGCCACGCGCTACATGTAGCTAGCTGCCGTTATTTGACTGACTGACCATGCTGCCAGCTGTATGATGAGGGCGATGATAAGCGCAAGAGGGGACCACAGGGACGAGAGGCGGGCAGCGCCTGACAGACATGACACACAGACAGGAGTGAGTAGTGAGCGACTCGTAAGCGGATCGGATCCTCCTGGCCCAGTCAGTCAGACCAGTGCAGAAAGACGACGGGCCAGCATGGTCGACATATCCTGCACGAGATGAGATGTGGATCGATGGGGGACAGAGAGAGAGAGAGAGAGGCAGAGAGGCAGAGAGGCAGGGAGGCAGGACCAGTCCGAGTATGTACATGTCAGTCAGGTGTCTCCACATGTACGGTTATCGACCGACCAACCAAGCCGCCCACCTTGTGTCTGCAGTAGCGACCCGTCCGGTAGGGCCTTGGTGTGAGTGAATCGGCACTGCACACTCTCGTCGCAACACTCCACCCCGCAATGCCTTCCACAGAGTGAGAGGAGACCAAAGGCATCCATCACAGGCAGGCAGGAGCTTGGTTCGGTAACATTAACTCACTTCACATAGTTTTGGCAGCTGCTTCGGCATGGCCGCAGGTACGCCGTCGACCCACCTGGATGCAGAGGATGCAGAGAAAGACAGAGAGAGAGAGAGACAGAGAGAAGACGGTCTGGTCTCGCACATGAGCAAGCCCATACCTGGCGTGACGCCGGCTTCGCATTTTGGAAAGTAGGTGTAGCACGACAGCCGCCACACGTGCTTGATGCAGTCATCAGCACTCTCCCACGGCTCTGTGTGTTCCCAGAAGTCTATGCCCATCCCCCCGAGGTGGTAGGCGAAGGTCGTGACGGCCTGGCCGTCGGCAGCTGATACGTTGACCACCCCGGCGCGCAAGCCGAAGTCATAGTCCACCACATCGCCGCAAAACCTGCATGAGCAAACACCCCTACCGTTCGTGTTGGATTGGGTTGCTGTGTGGAAAGCCTATGCATCACCGACCGCATTGCGCTCCCGTGTGTGGTGTAGTCCATGCATGTGTCTGCGGACAGACGGACAGACAGACCGAAAAACAGACACATACCAGCCACCCAGCCTTCAATGAATGCCGGCTGGCCGGGCCCTCTCTGCAGTGTGTGGATGGATGGATGGACAGACGCGTACAGTCCTTGTGGCTTTCGAGCAGCGAGAGGTCCTCGAGCGCCGGGAATATGGGGTTGATGCAGTAGGCAGGGCGGCACACCGCATTGGTGGAATAGATCTCCTTGCCTTGACCTACTACCAGCACCACCCTGCACCAACCAAGCAGGGCCTTGCTTGTTCTGTCATTTCGCTCTTTGGGCTCACCATTGCGATGTGTAGAGCAGCCCAAGCAGTCTCAACATGGTGCAGATCTCGTCATCCCCTCTCCTTGACGCGTAAACTTACTCAAAGGCTGCAGTGCGAGCTAATGACAGAGTGGGAGATGACGTAAGCAAGGGGTTTTTGAATGACCATCAGATGGTGAGAAAGAGCGTTAGTTACAGAAGATATTGACTCTCGCGCTGCACGGGATGCTCTTCTCGTGCTTTATTGCTCACACGTGGGATCCATATATGGGCGGCTGTGTTCTCTTCCGTGTTGTGTGTAGGCGAAGAGTCGTTGTGTGGCGTACACCTGCTGGCTGTGTGGCGGTCCGTTCCTGGCGCTGCACCACCTGTACCTCGGCAGGGACATCCAGTGGTTCCTCTGGTTCACCACTTTCGGCGGCTTCCTCGTCGGCTGGCTCAGCGACCTCTGCAAAATGCCAGACTACATTCGACAAGCTAACCTCAGCCAGAAATTCATGGCAAGTCAGACACACACGCAGTCGGGAGCCAGCCAGCCATCTGCACGCTCACACGCCCATCTCTCTCTCTGTTTGTGTGTGAATTTGTGGTGTGGTGCAGGAGCAGTATAGCAAGCGCGCCGGCGAGCACGTGTCGGAGTGGCAGATAGCCCGGTGGGCGGGCGCGGTGGCCTTCGCCGCACTCTACGAGGCCGTCCTGCTCCACGCTGTCAACGTCTACACGCCCACACTGCTGCACGGCTTCGTGCGCGCCCTCGGCCGGGCCATGGGCGTCTGGATGAGCTTCTCATCTGGCACCAAGAGGTCTTCCGTCAGGTGGGGGACTGACACAGACAGACAGACAGACAGCCACATGTACCTGGGTGTATCTCCATGTGTGTGAGTGTGTGTGTCTGTAGGTGGACGATTGTGGCTGCGTTGGTGTGTGAGCTGCTGTTGGGCTCTCTGGCGGCGCCTCTCGCGAGGGTCTATGGCGAAAGGTGGCCGCACAGGAGAAGCTACGCCGAAACTGACATACACAGTAAGCAAAGCACTCCCCGTCCCCATGGATGGATGAAGGCATCGCCCGCCCGTCCGTCAGATCTTGTGAGCGTCCTGGGCTCCCTTGTGGCTGCCGTCGCCGCGTGGAAGACGCAGAGGTCCGCTCCGCACACTAATGGATGGACAAATGGAGTCGGTGTGTATGTTGTATTGTTTGTGTATGTGTGTGTGTGTGTTATTTGGTTTCAGGTACCGCAGCGCTTTGCGCGCGCGGCACTTCTGCGTGCGGCTGCCTTTCATCACACTCGCGGCGCTCGTGTGGAGCGCACTCCTCTTCTCGGGTACACACACAACACACACACGCAGTGCCACCCACCCATATGTCCATCTCTGTGTGTGTGTGTGTGTGTGTGGCTCCCAGCGTTGTACCACCACATGGAGGTGCCCGACGCCGATAACCCCACCAAGACCCGGAAACTCAAAGACGTGGGCTGCCCTGCCCACCCACACACGAACGTTCTGTTGTGATGATGCCTCTCCTCTCGTCTCGTCTGCTGCGTGTGCGTACGTACGGGTGGGTGCAGATGTGGCAGGAGTTTGTCCGGTCCGACTCCTACCTCCAGCTCAAGGCGGTGCGCTGCACACCACACACACTTACACATCACACATCACACACAAACAAACCGCCGTGTGTGTGTTGGGACCTTGCCTTGTCTGTCCACCCCTCAGGTGGTCGACAGGTGGAGCAAGCTGGTCAAGGAGAAGGTCGGTCGCCTCAACACACAGAACCGAACAGAACAGAACAGAACAGGCCACACACACATTGCACCCCTCCCTCATGACTCCCTGGTGTCACTGTGTCGGCCTTGTGTGTATTGTGTCGGCCTTGTCAGGGTGTGCTTGAGGGGCTGCAGGACATAGCGCAGGAGATGGGGCTCTTCGACGAGAACACACCCAGGTGGACGGACTACCAGGTACTCGGCGTCAAATACGACGCCACCGACGCCGAAATCAAAGCAAGGTACGCAGCGCAGCGCACGCACCTGAGTCACACGCCTGCGCCTCTCTTCGTGTGAATCATACGCACCACAACACAACACAACGCAACACAGCCTTGCTTGTCTGTCAATGGTTGGTTGGTTGGTTGGGTGATATATAATATATGGGCAGGTATCGCCAGTTGGCGAAGCTGTACCACCCCGACAAGAGCACTGACGAGGACAGTGCGGCCAAAATGGCCCAGGTCAACGAAGCCTACAGGAGACTCATCGCCAGAACACCAGACACCACCGACCGTAGGCAGGCACACAAACAAACACGCCAATTGACACAGGAGGGGAGGGGACAGCCACGCACGACGGACGGATGGATGGCACGTTTGTCTGGTTGGTTGGTTCTTGTGTCCGTTCGTTTGTTCCACCCTTGGTTGGTCAGGGCAAGGCAAGGAGGAGCTCTGACGCTGCTGATATCAGCTGACGGTGCCGGTGTGGCGGGTTGGCGGGCGGGGTGATTGTGTTTCGCCTACTTATCTTCCCTCTCTCCCACACCTTCATTCACTCATCGACGGAGGTTTTTTTGCTGCACACCATGCAGCTCAGCTCACGGCACCACTGACAGTGTGTGTACATTGCTTGACTTCCTCCCCCTCCCCACTCGCCTCTCCCCCGCTGGCTCTCGCCCTCGCCCTTGCCTTGCCTTGCCTTGCCTTGCCACCCACCCACTCCCTCCCTCACTCACTGCTGTAGACTACCTCAGTGAAGTCACACAAGGCGACAACCACACACGACACACGACAGACGGACACATCCATCCATCCACCTCGCGTGTGTGCGTGTGTGCGTGTGTGCGTGAGGGGGCCGGGTCGCCGATGTATGTACTTGTGTATGTGTTCGTATTTGTGACTCTTGAGTGAGAGAGGCGAGAGAGTGCTGCCGCTACTATTACTACTGCTGCTGCTACTGCTGCTGCTATGTACATACAAACATCATGTGCATGCGTTCTTGACGTTTGGCGTTTGGCGTGGCTGGATGGATGGATGGAGGACACACACGAGCCGCCGTTGATTGAAACAAGCCAAGCACGCAAAGTCGCCCACTCATCAGCCAGACCCCACAACACCACCAATCCCTCTCTCTCTCATCTCTCTCTCCCTCCCTCTCTCCCTCCCTCCCTACAGCATTCGCTCATCATTCTCTCCGCGTTCGTCCGTCTCACATCGTGAGCACCCACACTGACCGGCAGGCTGGATAAGATAGGATGAGCTCAGATGAGATCAGAAGTCCAGCCCCGCCGCTCTCGCACCCTCAGCCACGGCTTTCACCTTACCATGATACCTACACACAACACAACACAACAGAATGTAGCACAACAAACATCCCACAAGTCGGCCGACCCACTGTGGCGTGTCACATCGTCACATCGTCACAGGCGTACGTACCTGTACTGTCCCCTGTCGAACCAGACTTTCCATATGCCCTTCTCCAGCGACTTCTTCCCCAGCAGCTTCCCAACCTCATACGCCGCCGCCACCGTGTCGCCGTTCAAGCGCTCGCCAGCTCCTGACACACCCACCAATGGCACCGATGGGATGAGCGTTGCAGGCAGGCAGGCAGGCAGGCAGGCAGGCAGAGCCAATACAGCATCCATCCATCCATCCATCTATCGACCTCGCTCACTGACAATCCTTCCTTAAGTACCTACCCATTCTGGTGGGCACAGATCTGAGCAATGGTCTGATCTCCGGGCTCAGTGTGCACGCCGACGCGAGCGTGTGGTAGACCTCGTCGTCGACCACCATGGCGTAGATGTGGTTGTTGGACTTCTTGACCGTGATCCGCGGCCGCCGCTCACCCAAGTGGATGTCCTCGGGCACGTCCGCCGCCTTCGCACCCACTGGCGTCTTGGCAACCTCCTCCTCAACCTGAGCGAGCGATTGATGAATGAATGGATCAGCCAGTGGCTGGCTGCATCCCATCTGTCCATCCACCCACCCCTGTCTGCCCACCGTAGTGTCAGGTTGTTCCGGCGGCGGGGCGTCATCGGCTTCGGCAGCGAGGACAGCTGACGCCGGCAGCCTGCGTTGCCGGGCCTGCCACCGGTGGGATCTCTGAGATGTCGGTGAGGATGAGCTTCTGAGGGAGAGGAGGGGGAGCGGGGAGCCGGGAGAGGAGAGGAAGGCGTCCGCCGAGGCGGCGATGCAGATCATGCTGACCACACACTGAGCCAGCCACTTCATTTCGAAGACCACAAGGCTGGTTTCTCCTCTTCGCAGATCTCGCAAAGGCGAGCTTATTTGGCGCCAAGCTCGCATTCCCCTCGGCGCTGCTTCCCCTAAGCGAAGGCCGTATAAGGCGCTGTAGGCCAGAAGCCAGCTCCGGGGAGGTTTGTCAGCCGTGCTGGCTTTTGGTGCCGCCGGTGACTGAGTGGCGTGCCGTACGGCCATGGCGTCCGAGTACATGTGCGCCCCACTGGCGGCGCTGAGAGCCAAGCAGCAGCAGCACCAGCAGCAGCAGCAGCCAGGCTCGACGCCCGTCAACGGCAGCCCGCACTCTGACCTTAGCACGGCGTCGTCGCGCAGAAGGGTGAGCGAACCACAACAGACACCGGCACACAGACAGACAGACAGACAGACAGACACTGAAGCAGACAGGAAAGGCAGCTCCCATGTGTGTGTGTTCTGACTCACTCGTTGGGTCGTTTCTGTTTGTTGTGTGTTCAGCATCCTTTGACGAAGCGGGGGCGTCGTCTGGGCCGTCTTGTGGAGCGCTGGGCGGAGTTCCATGGGTCCCATCTGCTGTGCTTCGACCACCCCAACGACACCCACCCACGCCGCAGCATCGACCTGCTCGGCTGCGACGCGTCACCCATCAGCAAATCGCACCTCCCATTATGCGGCAAAGGCAAGGTGCTCTCCCTCCACCCCCCAGCCATCTTTGGCGAGCGCCGCGCCGCCCCCTTCCTGCCCTTCTTCTGCCGAGGCATCCCGGAGAACGATGACGACGGCTGTGGGGGCGGCGGGCTGGAGGAGAATGACTGTCCGTCGACGGGCAACGGCACCACTGGCACCGACAGCCCGCTGGACACCGACCGTCGGGAGACTGAGGAGGGGGGGTGGTATGTGCGCTTGAGCGGGTCGCAGTGGGGTTCCCAGGCGGTGTATCTGCAGCTGCCGTCTGAGGATGAGCGCGACGCACTGGTGGAGGCCATCCGGGAGCTGGGGAGCATCAGGCGGTCGCAGGAGGGAGGATGGGCCGAGGGGGACCGTGACGACCATGAGGTACGTCCATCGATCGACAAACAGACAGGCGGGGAGGGAGGGAGGGGAGGAGAAGACAAGACGGGCATCCAATGTCTGTCTCTGCTCTGTTCTGTTCTGTTTGTTGTTCGTCGTCTATGCCTTCCTTCGTAGCTGAATGAGGCCAGCTCCGGCAGCCGGCTGCTGCTCCCTGACCTGCAGCCGGGGTCGCCGGCGCCCTGCTCATTTCCCCCGGCGCCCTGCTCCTTCCCCCCTGCAGCCGCCACACGCGAGCCGCGCACAGTGCTCTCCCGCTTCCTCAAGACCTGGTCGAGCACTGTCAAAGGCTCCCCATCCCCAACGCGCCACCTGCCCCACCACCACTCTCACACCCAGGCGGCCCCCCCTTCATCCCCCACCCACTGTGACCATCTTCAGCAGCAGCAGCAGCAGCAGCAGAAGGACATTCAGCTTGAGCAGCCTGAGAGTCAGCTGACCAGCCTGCCGCTGACCAAGGACATGATTCACCATGGCGACCAAGACCATGACCATGACTATGATCAGGAGCAGGACAAGTGTGTGGGCAGCACCCACACGGGCCTCAGTGGCAGTGGCAGTGGCAGCGGACGGGCGTCGACCACTGAGGGGGAGAGCCCCCTGCTGGGGGACAACCAGACGTCGTGTGGCGGGGAGGGGAGCGGCAGCGGCAGCGGCAGTGGCAGTGGGAGCGGCGCCATGACGACGGACAGCGGGCTCTTCTGCTCGCCGGTGAGCCATGCTTATGGGCAGGGCGGGAGCGACGATGTCGCGCCGCACGACATACCCGACGAGATGACGGAAGGTGGGTAATTCGCCAGCTGACGTGGGATGGATGGATGGAGGGATGGATGGATGGGTTACATGTGTGTGTGTGTGTGTGTGTTGACTGACTATTGTGTGTGCCTCACTGGAGGTTCAGATGAGCAAAGTCCTCATGACAATTTGGGGTCCAAGAAGCCGACGAGGCGGTCGGCCAACCGGAGGGAGGTGTATAGGCCAGGCCAGTCCTCGCCAAGGATACATGTACCGTCACAAACCCGCACACACGCAACACAACACAACACAACACAACACGGGGGCTCGCGCGATGCCTCCTTACCCTCTCTCTCTCTCTGTGTGTGTGCGGCTCCATCCATCAGAATCTGTCCAGCAGTTGTTACAACCGCAATGTCGATGCCACGCACTGGGAGCCGCCCAACGGGTGAGATGAGAGAGGCAGAATCACCCCCACCTCACACACACACACATACACACATACTCGCATACTCACAACGATCCTTGCCTGCCCGTCTCTGTCTGCCTGTCTGTCTGTCTGTCAGCGAGACGCCCACCGAGGCCTTGAATCGGGCGCAAGACCTAGCGTGGTACACACATACGAACCCACACAAAAGGAGCCACACAACACAGACGTTTGCCATTCTCTGCATCTGATGTGTCCGGTCCGGCCCATGTCTGTCGGTCAGGAATTTTGACCTGGATAAGGCCGAGAAGGCGCTGAGGCCGTACATCAAGACCGGCCTGCTGCACAGCCTCACCTACGCCGAAGTCGCATTCCTCCGGGTAAATCGACGACAAGAGGGAAACACAGAGGGAGGGAGAACAAAGACGTGTGTGTATGGTATGCCCCCGATTTCCTTGGTCTGGTTGTGCAGGTGCTGGTGACTGGCCGGAAGGCTCACGCGTACGAGTGCATCGACCGGATCACTGACACCGAGCACATCAGGGACGCCATCAGGTGCGTGCGACACACATAAACTCACTCACAGGCACACGCCCACAGAGAGACAGGAGAGAGAGATGCATCAATCACATCAGGCCAGGCAGGCACCCACCTGTGCCTGTGTGTTGCCCGCCCCCCACCCCGCCCCCCACAGGACTCATTCGAGCCACCCGTGTTCGCCGTGCCCGTATCTGCCATACCAGCCGTCACCCACCACGACGTTCGACAACGGCAGCACGGCGGCCTCGACGGAGTCGTCGCCCGGCAAGAGGGAGAGCAGAGAGAGCCCCCCGTGGCCCTCACACCTGATCGACCTCGTCACTGCTGAGCTGCTGCTCTTCAGATCTGTCCTGTGTGTAAGCACCCACACACACAGGGAGGGAGGGAGGGAGGGATGGAAAGAGGGAGGGGCATGATGTGTGTGTGTCTTGTGTGTGTGTGTGTGCAGGTGATGATAGGTCATCGGCTGAGGGCCTTTCTGCTCTACAGACAGAGCTGGGGCATCTTCAGACGACTCGGTGAGTGAGTCGGCCAAGAAAAGCAAAGGCTCTGCACTCGCTCTCCCGACTAGATCTGGATCTCTTTCTATTCTATGTGGCTTGCAGAGATTCAGTGCGCGCCCTCAACCCTGTCGGGCGCGGCGACGCCCTCGCCGGCCCAGACACCGCCCCAGCCCACCTCACCCCGGAAGACACCCACAGCGAAGAAGGTATGTATGGATGTGGCGCAATCACCGGGGGCGGATGGATGGATGGACGGACGGACACACGCGATGAGATGGGGTCGTTTTGTTTCTTTCAGGCCAGCACCACAGGGGGTGACCTGCTGACAACCGGCGTGCTGCCGTCCTGCCCGACGGACAACCACAACAGCAGCAGCAGCAACAAGCAGCAGCAGCAGCAGACGGTTCCCTCTGTGTCGCTGGGCTGGTTCGGCGGCAGACGGGAGGCCATCACACTCGACGACGAGATGATGAGCAGGTCAGTCTCTCTCACCCAAACCCAAGCCAACACGCTAGCTATGGATGTGTGACGTCCGTGTCTTGTGTGTCTTGTGTGTGGTGGGTGCCATGCCATGCAGGCTGCTGTTGGGTCTAGGTCTGTTCTACCTGTCTGTGTCGCTGGTGCCCGTGTCGTTCGCTGGTCTCTTGCGGCTGGCCGGCTTCCTGCTCAACAGGTCCAGGGGCGTCAGATACCTCGACACATGCGCCAACCATGTCGCGGGGGTGAGTAGTGAGTGTGAGCGGAGCGGAGCGGAGGGAGCGGAGCGGAAGACACAACTAACACCACACGACACACATGACATGATATGACGGTCTGTGGGTGTGGGTGTGTGTGTGTGTTGTGTGGTGGTGGTGTAGAGCCGCGCGATGCTTGCCGGTCTGGTGTTGTCCCTCTACTACCTCGACCTGGACCCTGATGTGCAGAAGGCCGGTATGTGTGTGTGTGTGTGTGTGTGTAGGGTGGGTGCATATATATGATGCCTTGCCTTCACATGAAACACATTATTCCTGACACCCCACCCCCACCCCCATGTGCGTGTATATGTGTGTCTGCCTGTGTGTGGCATACAGGCGACCTGTTGACGGCCTTCCTGAAGGTGAAGCCCGAGTGTGCTCTGCTCCACTGGGCCGGTGAGAGCCTTGAGAGCCTTCACACACGCGGCCATTTGTGCTCTGTGTGTGTGTGGCGCCGCGTGGGTGATTGTGTGTAAAGGGTCTCTGCTGGCGTGGCGTCACGCGTTGATCAACGATGCGGCCTTCTTGATCAACAAGGCCCTCTGGTGCTGCGGCGACCCACTGGCAGACTCGGCCGCATACCTCAAATACGAACTCGGTCACACACACAGAGCACATTGCGCCATCCATCCATCCATGCATCCATCCATGTGTGGTGTGGTGTGGTGTGGTGTGCAGCGTGGTTTTACTTCATGAAGATGGAGTGGGACCTCTCCGCCCGGCACCTCACGGCCGTCATGGCCCGCGTCCTCAACACACAAGACAAAATATTCCTCCCACACAAAGTCAGTCAGTATACACACCCTCCCCCCTCTGCCCTCCCCTCCCACCCTCCCATACCCCCACCCCATGTCTGTCTGTCTGTCTGTGTCTGTGTCTGTGTCTGTGTGTGTGCAGGGCGTGTTGGCGATGCAGATAGCGGCGTGTGCTTTCCAGGTGTGTGTGGTGCCGCCCGACGCCCTGGGCGCCACCGTGGACGTGACGGTCCGCGAGGCAGGCGACAACCCACACCAGTGGCTGCGGCAATGTGAGATCTTCGCACAAAACAGCTCAAACAAATCGAGACTCGATGACGACTTTGGTACACTCACACACACACCACACACACAGACAGAGCTACAGCCACACTCAGACCTCTCCGTGTGTGTGTGGGTGTGGGTCTACGTACGATTGGATTGACCTGTGTGTGTGCAGCGCGTTTGTCGGTGCTGTATTCTGGCGCCCGTGGCGCGCCCCGCTGCGACCCCCGTCTGCTGTCTTTTGAGGTCATGTACCACTTGAAGCAGCTCAGCAGGCTCCCCACGGCATTCCTCGACAGATTACACATCGCCATATGCGACATCGCCAAACCTGTCGCCACGGTACGGGTGTGTCCCCCCCCCCCTTCATTGAGTTCTATTCCATTGCGTCTCATGCATGTGTTGTGTGTCCGTCTCGTGTCTGCGTGTGAACAGAAGCTGCTCCGCTCATGCGATCCATCTGCCCTCTCCCTCCTCGGTTAGAGAGAGAATGAGACAGAGAAAACACCACCCCACCCCACACCACACCAGACCAGACCACCACACCGAACGAACCGTCGTTCATTCATCATCACATACATGTGTCTGTCTGTGCGTGGGTGGGGTGCATTCATATCATCAGACGCCAAATGCGACATTTTCGGCCAGCGTCCCGCAGCCCGCTCATCGATGGCTCTGTCGTCCTTCCCCCTGCCCACCCCCGCCCCCCAGTGGTCGTCACAGGACACACAGGCCACAACCAGGACCACGGCCACTGGTGCGGGTACGGCTGGCGCTCATGCGGAGAGGGTGCAGCGGTCGGTTGATGCGGTGGTGGGAGGGCAGCTGACGTCGGACGAGCTGCTGACACACGTGTGTGCGATGGGGCTGCGCGCGGCGGTGCTGTTCCATATGGGCGACTGCGACACGGCCATGACCTTCGTGCCACATCTCAAGGAGGTGCGTGCGAATGGCGGGGGTGGAGGGGCCTTGTCGGTCGGTCGGTCGGTCGATGTCCGTGTGTGGTCTTGGTCTTGTGTGCAGGTTGCCAGCCACGTGTCGACTATGTGGCCGCACCTGACCGTGCACGCCCTCTACTGGTGCGCCAGGCACTTCGGGTACGCCAGCGACCAGCCATCCACTCATCCATCCGTCTATCCATCCATCCATGTATCCATCCATGTATTGTCTGTCTGTGTGTGCTGCGCTGCTCCTCACCGCAGATTGTGTCAGGACCTCGACTCGGCGATAGGGTGTCTGCGGCGCGCCAGGCGGGGGCGCAAATACCCCTTTAACATACACGTCAAGGCCGGCAAGGTACCGTACCGCACTCATCACTGGTCAAAGCGACGAAACCCACACGCATGCACATAGACGACACTGTGTCTGTGTCTCTCTCTCTCTGTGTGTGTGTGTGTGAGCCAGGTCCTGAAAGATTTCACCGAGAACGGGGGGCTCTACAACTAGCTAGCTGAATGGGGGCGGAAGGGAGAGAGAGGGAGGGAAGGAGAGAGGGAGAGAGCGGATGGCCCCTGCCTGCCTGCCTGCCTGCCTGTGTGTGCGATAGAGAGATGCACATACGTCCGTCCCTCCGTCCATCGACCCACTGGTTCTGTGGGTGGATGGAGGAGTTACAGCAGACATGCGACGCAGTAAATGACCGGCTGACTGACTTGACTTGACTGACACACAGAGAGACAGACAGAGTGACAGAAAGACAGAAAGAGAGAGAGAAGGAGGGGGACTTACTGCGCATACGACTGTATGTATCTGTGTGTGCCTCTGTGTGTGTGCCTGAGCGTCTGTCTGCGTGCCAGCAAAGTGGACGGACGGACGGCTGAATGATTGATTGAATGTCGATCGCTGGCTGGCTGATGTGTGTGTACGTAAGTGCGTGTACCGACCGTATGTGTGTAGTTTCGTTCGCCCTCTCACTCTCACTCTCACTCGCACATACGAATTCAGGTTTGCTGCGCGTCGTGCTGGCTTGGCTTGCGGCACCACTCGCCTCTCTCTCTCTGGTGTGTAAATACTCTTTCTTACCTGTCTGCCTTTTGGTTGGTTGGCTGGCTGGCTGGCTGTCTGTCCGCTGTTTGTGTGCACACACACAGAAGTATATACGGGGACCTGTGTGTGCCAGCCATCCACCAGCTCTTTCTTTCTTTCCTTCTTTCTTTCTTTCCACCTATACACACACACACACACACGCACACATTCATGCGCAGCGCAGACACAGCTACCTACCTGTTGTTGACCAGTTGTTGACTTGCACTCACTTGGCCTTCTGAGGCACATGTACGTACGTAGGTACCAGGGTGTGCACAAAATTCACCCGATGGCCCACTCGTTGCTGCACAGCTGCAGGCAGACATGAAGGGAGTCAGTACACAATGGTCCGCCAACGGGCCCAACCAACCATGGCCATGGCGCGACCAAATTTTCTCTCTCCCTGCCGCCCCTCCCGCCCCTCCCGCCCCTTGTCTGCGTGAGCTAGCTTACTGGTACTGGTTGATGGACTCACTGGCTGACTGACCGTCCGTCCACACGGGGCGTGTGTGCATTGCAATTGCCTAGCTTGCCTTTATAATCAGTTGCTTGCCTGGTTGCTTGCGGTGGCTGTGTGAACGTATGCACATCCATCGATCCATCCATCCATCCATCCATCGATCCCTCCTCATACTGTCGATCTGTGTGAATGTGCGTATACACACACGCATACACACACATGTATGTACACGCATACACACATATGTACACACATGTACACACACACATGTCCGTACGTATCTTTGACGTGTATTTATTAACGTACCTGCATGCGTGAGTTTGCGTGATCGACCTACGACGGGTGGGGTGGTGCTCTTGCTTGAAGCACTCATTCATTCATTCATTCGTCGGATTGCATCCATTGCATGCAATGCGCGGAGGAGGCGCACAGCTGCACACAAGGGGGAGCGTCTGCGCGGTTACACTTCGACGACTGAATTAATTGGCCAGCTCACGAATGTTACAGGAGTGTTCACGCGTGTAGTGTTCACCCCCCTCTCTCACAGGGAGAGTCAACAACCGGGTTTCGGGTGTGGGGTTTCCAAACCCTTTGCCCAAACCCTTCTGCCCCAGCGAATGATGAAAAATATGCGTAAGACTCGGCAGGTGATGACAGGTCGACGAATGAGGTCCCGCACCACAACGGCACGGGCACCGTCTTGTGTCTGTCTGATTTGCATCATGCACGTAGGATTGAGATCCTGGTGACTCTGCGCAAGCATCATGGTGATTCACTCAGTGCGCATGCGATTGATTGACGCGTGCGCTGTGTGTGTTGTTTGCTGCAGAAAGGTGCTGCTGCTGCTGCTGCTGATCAGAAAATCGGTGCTGCTGCAGCAGCAGCTGCTGCTGCTGCGGAGCATGACGACACAGACGACGCAGATGAGGTGTGGCCGTCGAGCAATGAGGAGCTGTGGCGCGACGTGACGCCCCTCAGCACGGTGCTCGATGAGGGACCGCACCCAGTCGTCGAAATCGACACATCGCCTCAATGTATGCACACACTCACGCACGGATGGGCATCGCATCAATCAACACAACACACCCACACAGCAAGCCACAAACTCCCTCCCTTTGTCTGTCTGTCCTTCTGTCTGTCTGTCTGCGTCCCATTACATTTGCCATCCATTCATTCATTCATTGTGACATCAGTCCGGCGGGCCCACGCGCTGCTGTATGCGCTGCTGAGTGCGGGGGAGAGGAGCCAGCGCGCCCTCGACCTGACGCGGGAGGTCATCCACCTCAACAACGCAAACTACACCGCATGGTAGGTAGGGTCAGCCAGTGATGCATGGCCAAGGGTGTCTGGACTCGCGTGTGTGATGGATGGTCCCAACACAACATATACATACTACAGGCACTACCGCCGGCAGATCCTCGAGGGCATGGAGGGGGAGTGGGACCTCGCAGACGAACTCGGTGCACACACACGTCACTTCACGCCACGCCGTATACGCCATGCCGGCCGCCTGTTCTGTCGGGTGTGGGTGTGGGTGTGGGTGTGAGTGCATGCAGCGTTCAGTGAGGAGTGGATCTTCGACAGCCCCAAGAGCTACCAAGTGAGTGGGCCAAGCCGACCAGACACAGTCGCATACACAAGTGTGTGGGTGTGGGTGTGGGTGTTAGGTGTGGCAGCACCGGCGATGGCTGGTGGAAAAGGCCGCAGACCCATCAAAGGGTGAGCGAACGAGCACAGGAAGGCTTGTGTTGCGTTGTGTTAATCCTTTGTGCCTCCCTCCCTCCCTCCCTCCCTCCCTCTCTGCTTCAGAGCTGGAGGTGTGCGCGAGCGTGCTGAACAACGACGCCAAAAACTACAACGCATGGTCGCACCGGTAGGCAGGCAAACACGCACGCACCCCATCCGGCCATCCATCCATCCATCCGCCCATGTGTCTGTGTGCGCGGCTGGCGAATTGACGGATTCATGGGATGGTGCGAGCAGACAGTGGGTGGTGCGTACGTACGGGCTGTGGGCGGCCGAGCTGGCCTTCGCCGAGGCCATGCTGCAGGAGGACTTCCGCAACAACAGCGCATGGAACCACAGGTGGGTTGGGTCGGAGGGCAAGGCAGGCAGATGGATGGATGGATGGGTGTGTGGAGGCACTACGTGGTGAGCCACGAGCTGAGGTCGTGCTCAGGCCAAGAGGACCAGATCAGTGCCATTCGCTCCAGGGAAATCAGGTCACAAGACACAACACACAACACACAACACACCCACACGCACATCAGCCCTACACGCTTGTGTGCAGCTATGCCTCGTCGTGGCTCGCCCTGGCGCCGCACAACGAGAGCGCATGGAACTACCTCGCCAGGTAGGTCAACACACACACCACAGCACACACACACACACACACCATTGCTCTCTCTGCGTGTGTGAGTGCGTGCAGTTGGTTCGCCGAGGGCGGCGAGCGGCACACAGCCGAGAGGCGCCCCTGGAGCGAGATACCAAACGAGGTGGGCAGGCAGGCAGGCAGGCAGCCCAGACCCACCGACCGCATTGTCAACATCATCTCTCTCACCATCAATCTGACGAGTGTATGTCCATGTCCACTTTTGGTGGGTGGCAGCTGGAAGACCGCATCGCCTCCGTTGTCGCCTCTCACCCGAGATGCAGATTTGCCCTGGTCCGTCCGTCCGTCCGTCCACTGTACACACACATCACACATCACACGTGAGATTTCTTCTCTCTCTCTGTCTGTCTGTCTGTCCGTCTGGTGTGTGTGTGTGTGTCAGGAGGTGCTGGCCAAGGTGGCATCTGCTCGTGGGGATGGTGAGGCGGCTTGTCAGCGGTGGCGGGAGCTGGCCGATAGCGACCCCGTGCGACGGAGGTACTGGGAGTACATGGCCGACAGGGAGAGGGAGAGGGAGAGGGAGAGGACGATAGCACTACAACAGACAGGGGCAGGGGCAGGGAGTGGGGAGGGCTGATGGATGGACAGCGGTGTTTCCGAGCTTTGTTTTGTTTATGTGCAAGCAAAGCGGTTGGTTGTCTTTTGACTCCGTTGTGAGAGCTGTGATGTGATATGTATGCGGGTCGATGGACGAATGCTCGTTCTCTGTTCAATCCATCCATCCATCCAGGAAGCGTCCAGGACACCGCTTCTCTCTCTGTGCGTGCGTGTCCTCCTGTCTCTTCATCTCATCCATCATTATCATTCGTTCTTTCGCTCTTTCTTCCTGTGCGTTTTCCCTCTTCCTCTTTAATCGCTTCCCCTCCTCCCCCCTCCTTTCCCTTCGAGTGGCCGGCCCATCACAGTGCTGCACACATCACATCACATCACACACATCCCGCCCGTCACGTCAGTCGAGACACCCACACCCAACAGACAGACAGATAGATATCAACCAATCTATCAACCAAGCTATCGACAACGGCCCATCCATCCATCCATCCATCCAACCGTGTAGGCGGCGTGCTTCACAAAACCTGGCTGGCTCAGTCGACAAACACACAGGCAGGCAGGCAGACAGGCAGACCGAGACAGACCAGACATACAGGCGCCACCCCCACACAGCTGACCCGTTCGTTTGTTTGTTTCGGGTCAGCTGCGTGTGCGCGGCGCCTTGTCGGCTGTCGGTCGGTCGACGCAAAACGAAGGGCGAGAGACAGAGTGGATGTGTGTATGTGGGTGTACATGTGTGTGAGATGTGGGTGTGGGTGTGGGTGTGGGTGCCGACAGACAGACAGACAGACAGACAGGCAGACGAACGGGGAGATGCCTTCATTCCATCCATGTAAAGAGAAATCAATCGACCAACGACCATCCATCCATCCATCCGTGTACCTACCGAGAACAGCACGCTTTGGCGCATACAGACCTACAGACGTCCATCCATCCATCCATCCACACGCACGCCGCAGACCAAACCTGACGCGAGAGCCCTTCTCCTTCGCACCCGTCCGTCCACACACAGCATTCCTTGCTCCCTCCCTCCCTCGCCCAAAACTCCAGCCAACCAACCAAAACGTCTCGATGGATGGATCGATGGATCGATGGATCGATAGATCAAGAAAAGAAAAGCAGTTCATACGACTAGGGCCACTCCACTCCTGCATAACAGGCCGACCAACGACTGGGTCGACTATAGACAGACAGACACAGATACACAGATACACACGCATACCAGACACACCACACCACACCACCTGACCTGCACAAATGGAGAGAGACCCGAGACGGGAAATCAATCAAAAGAGGGAGAGAAAGAGAGTAGAGAGTGGCCGGCAAGCCAAGCAAGTCACTTTCACTATACACCACACACACCCACACCCACACCCACACCCAGGCACCGTACTATCTATGGCTGCACACACACGACACGCAACACACAACACAAAACACACAACACAACACAGCACCTGGCTGGCCATTCATTCAAAAAGGGCAAGAGCGGACGATGTGATTGAGGAAGAGCGCAAGGCAAGGAACGAAGGAGGGAGTGACAGCCTCGCACGCCCGCACGCCCACCCGCATAGCATAGCATACACACACACGGATCTATCTACTCACACACCACACGCCACACCCACACTCACCAACGAAAAAGAAACTGATCGATCCAGATAGACAGATACCGAGAAACAGACAAGCCCCAGCCGCACCGCGCCCCCCATCCCATCATGTCAGTCAGCTCACTAACGTCAGACGCAATCAGTGAATGAATGAAAGCCCTAGCGCACTCACAAGGCAGCCCCACTCCACTCCCCCCC